GTTTACATTTCACCAGGAGGCAGTGGAGACTGAGAGAAGGGCTTTAGGGAGAAAATGGCAGAGTTACACAGCATGGCCTGAAGGTGAGGAGAAAGGGCAAGGAATGAGGGTCAAGGAGCCCGCAGGAAGAGGAGGGGTGTGAGGTTGGTGGTGCAACAGTGGAGAGGGGCCAGGTGGAAAAGCTCCCCCTCCCCTTCTGGGGCTCCGTGTCCTTGGCAGCAGAGCGGAGGCCAAAGGTCCCCACATCAGTCAGTTCTGCTAGTCCCTGGCACCCTGCCGCCCACCCCAGGGTCTCCACTGCTAATGGGAAGGGGAGATGTGTAGGATCCTGGAGGGAGGGGGAAGGGGGGGGACGGGCCTGGTCAGTCTGGTCTGACCCTGGCCGCCCCTTCTGCGGCCCTGCAGAGCAAGAGTTAATATGCTTCCCCTCCTCCTCCCCTTCCTCTCCTCCTACTAGGTCACCTTCTCAGGCCCTGGAGACTTGGCTGGTGGCTCAGGTTCCTCAACCAGTGGCCCTGAGTAATCAGAGCACAGAGGGGCAAGGGCCTGGGGCAGGCAGAGGTAAAGGCAGCCTCAGAGATTGGGGGGCTGGAGTATTTGAGGTTGAGGGTTTGGGGGACACCATAGGTTGGTTCTCCTGACCAGATCTCTCCCGACCCTGATCTCAATTTCTTCTACCTACAGAGGAGAATTCCTTGAACTCCTCTCCTGGACTTGGGGGGGTGGGGGGTGGGTTGAGGGGGTGGGGGATGGCTCCCTGTGGTGCTCTCTGCCAGGAAGCTTTTCAGCTGCAAGAGACAGGGTCCTTCCCCCCAATGCCAGGAACTGGCCCTAAATGAGTCTGTGGTCAGCAAGAGACCTCTGCTAATGGAACTGGGCTGCCCCCCAAGCCACAGAAGGGAATGAAGGAGAAGAAAGTGACCTAAGAGCAGCTGGCTTGGAGAGGGTGCTGACTTAGAGTGGGGGAGACCAGGGAGGGGAGAAGGATGAGTGGAGTAGAGGCCTAGGTGGAGGGAAGTTAGAGGCCAAGGGATTATTACAAGGGAATTAGGGGTACAGGGAGTAACTGAGAGTAAGAAAGATTCAGGACAGTGATGAGAAGGGAGCCAAGGATCAGGAGCACTTACTTAGAGAGGGGCTGGGCACTGCGAGTGTATTGAGAGAAATGGGGGCGTCGATGAAATAATGAGGGGAGATTATATGTCAGGGGAATGGGAAATGACATGGGGTAGCCTGAGAGAGAGCTAAGAGAGTGTGGGGACGCAGGGGTCCCCGGGAATGGCCTGGCAGGGGAGGGGGAGGACCAGGCTTGGAGTGGGGAGCTGAGGACCATGCTGACATGCAGGGAGCTTGGGTGTGTGTCGGGGAGTACCCGCAAGGACCCGCTGTGCGCCTGGAGCCACCTTGGCGGTGCGAGCAAGGGGTTCTGTCGTCCGTCTCAGCTGGAGAGCTGGGTGCCAGGAGGCCCTGGGCTTTCCCTGGGTTTGCACTGTCTTCAGCCTTCCCCTTCTCAGTCCTCCCGTGGGAGGACCAGTTGTCCTCCTCCCCGCCAGCCTCCCTCTCCCACCGCCATCAATTATTCATAGCCCAGAAGCCCGCCCTGCCGCCAGCCCTCCAGCAGAGCAGGCGGGCCCAGGCCACACGCCCCGCCCCACCTTGGCCACACTACCACCCAGAGGCCTGGGAGGAGGACAGCCAGCCTGACAGGCGGGTGGCGCAGACCTGGCAGAAGGGCTGGGTGCAGCCTCGCTACCCCTTACGACTCTGCCAATTCCCTGGTGCCAGGAAGCTCCAGAAAAGATGCCCGTCCAGATCTTCTGCTCAGTGTCATTCTCCTCTGGCGAGGAGGCCCCAGGACCCTTGGGAGATGTTTGGGGTCCCCAACTGCGGCAGCAGCGGGACACCTCAGGATCAGAAGAGGAGGAAGAAGAGAAGGAAAGGGCGGCGGTGAGGAGCAAGGCCAGAGAGGGCGCTTCGCCGGCGGACGTGGTGGCCTTTGCCAACAGCTGCACCCTGCATGGCGCCAGCCATGTCTTTGTGGAAGGGGGTCCAGGACTGAGGCAGGCCCTGTGGGCAGCGGCCTTTGTCCTGGCACTGGGCGCCTTCCTGTGCCAGGTGGGGGACCGAGTCGCCTATTACCTCAGCTACCCGCACGTGACTCTGCTAGATGAGGTGGCCACCACGGAGCTGGCCTTCCCGGCGGTCACCCTCTGTAACACCAATGCCGTGCGGCTGTCCCAGCTCAGCTACCCTGACTTGCTCTACCTGGCCCCCATGCTGGGGCTGGATGAAAGTGATGATCCTGGGGTGCCCCTGGCGCCCCCAGGGCCTGAGGCCTTCTCGGGGGAGCCCTTTAACCTGCACCGCTTCTACAACCGCTCCTGCCACCGGCTGGAGGACATGCTGCTCTATTGCACCTACCGCGGGGGGGCTTGTGGCCCCCACAACTTCTCAGTGGTGAGTGAGGGCCCATGCCCAGCGCGGCATCCCACCGTCCTCCGTGTGGCTCGCCCTGATCCTCATCTCCTGGGTGGGTCTGGGGACCCCGTGCCCCTCCCCCACCTCCCCTGGGCCAAGGGGGCCTGGCCAGAGCTCTCCCCAGCGCCCCAGGGTCTGGAACTAGGTTGCCATTCTCAGGTCCCGCCAGCACTGCTCTTCCTGTTAGAATCCTGAAATACCTCTGTGCTAGTTAGCAATTAGCTGCTGCCCCAAGGCCCCCGTGTCTCCCTGAATGCCCTCCAGCCTCTCCAGCCCCTCCCAGAGCCCCCTGCCACCCGGCAGGGCCCAGGACCTTACTCAAGCTCTGTGGTATGGTACCTGTGCCCAGCCAGTGTAGCCATTGTGGCTGTCACCTCTAGACTGAGCTGGAGTAGGGGCTACCTGGTGTGTGAAGGTATAGCAGGGTGTGGAAGGGAGGCAGAAGGGCGAGGACAGCCCCCTCTCCTGCCACCCGTTCCCATGTCAGCAGCTCGCACAGCGAGGGATTCATTGTATCCTCACTTGATCTTTCTGTGTTCCTCATGTGTGTGCACGCACGCGTGTGCCTGAGGAAGAATAACAGGCTTCTACCTATTTGCCCTCCCATTCCAGGGTCTAGGGTCTTCCCTGCTGGGGAACCTGGTACCTCCCACCTGGTACCACCACCCTTCACTTCAGCTTCCTCTTCTGTCTGTCTAACTCTGTTCCTGCTCCTTCCAAGTTTCTGGTGCGCAGCGTCCCCTGACCACACACAGTCCCTTGGTCCCCACCTCCTTACTAGTGCAGGAGCATGTGGGTGTCACCATACCAGGGTTCTGTGGATGACTCTAGACAGTCGGGGAGCTGGAGGTTTGGCCCTGGGCCTCAGACCAGCCAGGAGAAAGCAGCTGGACCTAGGGAGAGCAGCAACTTCTCATCAGAACCACCAGGTGGCGCCAGCAGTTCGACCCTGGGGCCAGCGCCCATCTGTTACAGGGCACCCCAATGTGAATTGGGTTGCCTGTCTGTGGGTCTTCACCCGTGGGCTTACGATTCAATGGTATTATAGATACACTCAAAAGGTTAAATAATGGATTGATTTATAAGGAGAAAGGTAAAGGAATAACCCAGGGAAAGAGGGAGAGAAACACAGGTTATCTGGGATGTCCTACCAGTTCTGCTGACTTGGACTCCACCGGCACGCTGAAAACCGATTGAGCGCCAAAACGATCAGCTGCGAGTCACCGCCCAGTGCTCCCAGCAGCTTCAGCCTCCTTCCCAGGAGGCAGGTAGGGACCTGGGTCCAGCCTGGAGCCTGGGGCTGAAATCTGCAAAACCCAGTCGTGAGGCAGGGATTAGAAGTCCTCAGAGTTCCTTCTACTTCATCTCTGGACCTCGCCACCACATGGGGGAGAGCATGTTTTCTGGAGTGGAGGTGGAGGAAGCTATTTTAGGAGGGGGAAGGGAACAAGGATGGTATTGCCAAGAACCCCCACCCGCCTGCCACTCCAGTCTGAAACTGTCTCTCTCTCTGGGCAATACCTATTCTGCTCGCCTATGACTCACTCTGTGGACACTGTCACCATCCAGCGGAACCTGAGGACATTCAGGGAAGCTGGGGGGGGGGGAGTCAGGTCACTCTCGTCTCTGTGGCTGTCATCAGAGCTGCAATAAGGTTGTGCTGGAGTTTGGGGGAGGGAGCCGACCCCAGGCTGAGGTCTCTGAGACCCCCACGGCTCTGCACAAGGATGACCAAACATGCCCCATTCTGGACCTCAGGACCAGACGCTGGGAGAAGAGGCACTAGTGTTTGGGTGTGCCCAGCCTTGGACATGGCAACAGGTCCGGATGACAATGGGACATTGACAGGGTCTAACCACTGGAGGAAATGAGAAAAGTCTTGGTTTGAGGAAGGGACTTGGGGAGAAGAGGATTTCAGGTGTCTGGGGTGAAATCCAGGCAAAGGATGACATATCTAAGGAGGCCCCAGGAGCTGGAGCTTGAGGAGAGGACCCAAGAAGCGACCAGGAGCTGATAATGGAAATGAGTGTGTCAGAGTCCCAGCTGGGGAAAGATGGTCACTCAGGTAGTTCAATGGCAAAAATGTTGACCAAGGGGCTGGGCAGAGCTGAGGAAGCCAGTTTGGGGGACTGAGTCACCTAGCAGTAGTAGGAAGTTGTTACCCCATTCAGGTGAAGGAGTGCAAGGAGGAAGCAGCCACTGGGGTGCCCTCCCGGCGGGACTGGTAGTCTGACAGGCTGAGCTATTGCCAGAACACTCAGGGGGAGAAGGGCTAACTGCTTTCTGCCTCTGATCCCTACTGATACCAAACACAACCTGAAGCCCATCCAGGTAGCAAAAGACGGTGCACCCCACAGGGATCAGCTTTCCAGGCCACACTGTAGCACAAGAAGGGGTCAAATGGAGAATGGGCCACACCAGAAGCATCACCCTGAAGTGTGTTAAGATTCCAGCAGCTGGGGGTCCTGGTGGGTTGGGGGTGCTGGCAGGACTCTCAGGCTGTCCACTTTGCCCCCGCCCAGGTCTTCACCCGGTATGGAAAATGCTACACATTCAACTCGGGCCGAGATGGGAGGCCGCGGCTGAAGACCATGAAGGGTGGGACGGGCAATGGGCTGGAGATCATGCTGGACATCCAGCAGGACGAGTACCTGCCTGTCTGGGGGGAGACTGGTATGTCACCTCTCTCAGGGGACCCCACCCACTCTTCCATGCTTCACCTTCTACCGGGGACTCCTGGGTTCCAAGGTGGGACCTGAAGCAGTGCTGGGGTGCTCCCCCCCACATCTCCCCATTTCCACGCTTCCATCTCTGACTCTACCTAACTGCCACACTCCCCCTTCCTGGCTCCCCCTTCCTGGCTCAGTTACTCTCCAAGGTAACCAGCCATCCTTATCCATCAGTGGCCGCCACTGACTCTATAAATAACTCCCTTTCTTCTAGGGCTGCCTTCCATCTGTCTGGTCTGGGGGAGGGGGCTTTGGGACACAGAATGGTGGGGAGAAGGGAGAAAAGGAGTGTCTCAGATAGTGAGAAAGAATTTGAGACACCTGTGCAGAGCTGAAGCCAGGTGAAAAATAAAGAAGTGCTTACAATACAGGGAGCATCGGAGCGGCACTAGACTGTGAACCCAGGAGGGGGTGGGCACCCTACATTTCCCCCACCCCGTCCCAATGTGTGCTGTGCCAGTCCCAGGACAGGAAGGACGCCCCCAATTTCCTAAGGGTCAGTGAGTCAGAAGGCCTCCCGCCACGCACTCCCCTCACTCCGTAGACGAGACGTCCTTCGAAGCAGGCATCAAGGTGCAGATCCACAGTCAGGATGAGCCTCCTTTCATCGACCAGTTGGGCTTCGGAGTGGCCCCAGGGTTCCAGACCTTTGTGGCCTGCCAGGAACAGCGGGTGAGAAGGCCATGAGAGGCCGGTGCCAGGGTGGTGTTTGGTGGGTCAGGTGGGACTTGTGGGCGGTCAGTACCAGGAGGGATGTGTGCGCCAGGGTCTGGGTAGCCCCTCGGTAGTCAGGAGCATGAATGATCTAAAGAACAGGAATGGTCTGCAGGCTCTGAGACCCCCAGAGGCTACAGAATGAAGGAGAGGGGGCAGGACTCTTGAGTTCTGTGGCTTGTCAGAGAAGTCCATCAAGGTGACTCGGGGAGAAGTCCCCACACCCCCCAGCTCCCTGGCTCTCCCAGCAGCTCATCTACCTGCCCCCGCCCTGGGGCACCTGCAAAGCTGTTACCATGGACTCGGATTTCTTCGACTCCTACAGCATTACCGCCTGCCGCATCGACTGTGAGACACGCTACCTGGTGGAGAACTGCAACTGTCGCATGGTGCACATGCCAGGTCAGGCCTGAAAGTCCACATGATCCTGGGGCCCCTCAGCTGCACCCCTCAAAAGCCCCCTGTGCATCTCAACCTCCTGCCAACCTGGAAGCACCACCGCTGGGATTCTCTCCTTCCCACTTCCAGCCCATTCCATTCCTTGTGACCCTTGCCTGCACCCACTGGAATGGGTGGGAAAGGTCCAGGAGGGGTGGGCTCTAGAGGTGGGTCACCTCTTGGACAGACTGACACCAGCTACTCCTACCCTTCCATCCTCTCCCAGCTTCTAGCTTCTGGGCCTCTAGTCCAATCACAAGACCCCTCAGTCCATCCTGCACCGATGTCTTTTCTCCTCTATAGGGGACGCCCCATACTGCACTCCCGAGCAGTACAAGGAGTGTGCGGATCCTGCTCTGGGTGAGGGCCCGGTCCCGGGGTGGGAAGGAGGGGCTGCTGGTCACATGCAGAGGGGTTTCAGACCAAGCTCCTGAATAAGTCCTGCAGTAGGCTTCCCACGCACTCCCTGTGTCTGACTTTAGCAAGATTGGGAACGGCATCTCCAGGAGTCCTGGTGACAAATGAGCAGAGGGAACTTGGGAGGAGCCCCCCCTTTTCTCCTCAGCACCTCAGCTGTTTGACCCCCAAGAAGTAGGAGCTACCTATAGGGAAGCTGTGTGGAGGCCAGCACAAGGTGGCTGGTGAAAGACAGGGCAGAAAAAGAGAAGGGGACCAGGGCTCCCTGGGGCAGGACCAGGATGTTTGTGTTGGGAAGGTGCTGGCAGAGGGCACTTTTCAACTGGTGACTCTCACCTGGCTGGGCACAGACTTCCTGGTGGAGAAGGACCAGGAGTACTGTGTGTGTGAAATGCCCTGTAACCTGACTCGCTATGGCAAGGAGCTGTCCATGGTCAAGATCCCCAGCAAAGCGTCAGCCAAGTATCTGGCCAAGAAGTTCAACAAGTCTGAGCAGTACATAGGGTAAGGAATATGACCATGCAGGACGGGACCCCTGGGCTGGGACTCTGGAGGGTGTGAGCGGGCCTCCTCTGGAGGGTGTGAGGGGGGGTCTGGGGCGGGAGGCAGGAGAAAGTGAGATAGCATGGAGAAAGTATCCAAAGAATCTGGGCTGGGTGTGGAGGGAAATTAAGCTGGAACAAGCAGGGGAAGCAGCTCCTTCTCGTTCCCTCCTCATTTTATCCTCTCTTCATCCTCATTGCTCTAACTGGAATCACCTCATACTTGCCAATGTGCAGAATGTCGTTTCATGCAAGCCATTACCTTTAATCCTCACAAACCCCAAAAGGCAGGTATCCCCAGCAGCATCTCATTTCAGTGATATGAGGACTGAGATTGAGGGATAACTTGGTAAGGTCACCTAACTAGTAAGGGGCAGAGATATGACACGAACCTAGGTCTCCTCCCCCAACCCCTTTGCAGGGAGAACATCTTGGTGCTGGACATTTTCTTTGAAGTTCTCAACTATGAGACCATTGAACAGAAGAAGGCCTATGAGATTGCAGGGCTCCTGGGTGAGCTGCTGATGGCACCTGGCCCTTTCCCATGCCATTGGCATGGCGTGACCCCTCTGCTGCTCACCTGTCCCACAGACTCCTCCCCCTTCCAGCCTGGGGAACCTCTCCCCAAACTCCCTTGTCTTGGTGTGCGGTGGGAGAGGGTCCAAGCCTCCTCTTAGGCAAAGTGGAGACAGGACTATGAGTGTGAACACCAGGGGTAGGTAGTGGCACTGGGATCAACTTCATATGCCCTTGAAAATGTGCCCAGGGATGGAGAACCTTTTTCTGAATAATACCTATTCATTTTAGAAAAGTAGAAAAATGCAGAAAAGCACAGAGAAGGAAGTGAAAACTATGCCATAATCGCTGTGTGCGCCTTCTTTAGGAAGGTTGCCAATCACTTGCCAAATACAACTTGCTGCCCATCCATCCCAGTGTGCTCTGCTGCCCCCATGGTATCCTGATCCCACTGACCTCCCTGCGCCCCGCCTCCTCTACCACCCCTCCCCTCAACCCCCGCAGGTGACATTGGGGGTCAGATGGGGCTGTTCATCGGAGCCAGTATCCTCACGGTGCTGGAGCTCTTTGACTACGCCTACGAGGTGAGTGGGGGCGCGACCATGGGCCGGGATGCGGAAGGGGTCCCCCCACCCACTCACCCCTGCCACCACACCTCTGTCCCAGGTCATTAAGCACAAGCTGTGCCGAAGAGGGAAATGCCAGAAGGAGACCAAGAGGAGCAGTGCCGACAAGGGCGTAGCCCTCAGCCTGGATGACGTCAAAAGACACGTGAGGGAGCAAGAAGGGGC